TAGAATTTTGCTGATTTAATGTAACATTAGATCATTGACGTAACAAGGGGTCTCCAAAGGTTCTGCAGGCACCATAAAACATCCACTTATTGGCCTGTCTCATTGCACAAAAGCTGATTTTATGCTTCTACTGACACAGAGCTTGTACAGGCTTCCCTCACTGTCCGATGCTGTAGGCAGGTTCTTGGCTGTGAAAGGCTGTGACATCTCATTGCAAAAGAAAAAGTGTGCAAATTTAAATCTTTAAACGTAGAAATCACCATATCAATATGCAGACCTGCTTTACCTAACCTCCACTATAGAGCAGGAATAGGAAATATTTTGGTAGCTACCTGTTGTTTTTGGGCTGTCTGTGACATTGTATGTGTGCATGCGGATTGCTATTAGTATTTGCATCTGTGGTGGGAGCTGTCCTTTGTGTTGTGTCTGTATGTGAGCTGTTTGTGTGTGTGTTTATGTGTGCTGCCTCTTGTGTTATATACTGTAAGTGTTTGGTCGGGAAGAAGGACGGGAAGCGGTACAATCTTGACCGGTATACGTGCGAGTACCTAGCCGAAAAGCATTTCAGTACCGTTGCCTGCTTTCGGGAGACAAGATGGCCGCTATGCTTTTCTCAACCATTCATTCGGTTACACGAAATGGCGGCCACCCAGGGGAAGCCCTCATTAATTACTTCCCTTGCTGTTTCGCACAGATGTTAATGGATTTGTCAAAGTTCTGATGAGATACTGGGGTGGTCCTCGTTCAGGAGTCGAACCAACAGGGTTCTGGTACAATTACTACCGAACTGATGAAAAGTTTTTAAACAAGTGATGGGGTTATTCTGTCACACCCTGGTTTTGGTCTGCACCTACTGTGGATACAGAATACTTGTGCCTCTGTCTCCACTCTGGTGCTTTTTCAGCAAAGCAAAAAATTGCCATGGTAACCCATGGTAAAGGTCTGAATCATGGAGAAGTGCTAGACCGGGAGACAGTCTCACTTCTGCTTTGAGTGCTTGGATGCTCAAGGCCAGCTGGGGGACCCCCTGATCTCTGCATATTGCCCATTTGGGTCAGTAAACGTCACGTAAAAAACATGCAAAACTACTACTGACTGCCGAGCCCTGCTTACCACTTCATTGTGCAACTTCATCAATATGTGACTGTGCTACAGTTTATATTATAGTTTTATTTCATTACAAACTATAATTTATCCAAATTTATGTTTGCCAAGCGATTGGTCGAATTCTCAAACTCCATGCCAAAATATAAACGATTCACGCACAAAATGTTCAGTGGCCAAACATGATCATTTTAATGAGTGTTTCTGAATGTCACCCCTGATGCCTAAAAAAGAGATGATTAGTGGGAAAATAACTATTAATGGTTGGAAGACAATCACTAAATACTGATTTTATTCGCAGACCAAGAGAAAAATAGCAATGGAGGGAAGAAAAGGAGGAGGAGTAAAAAATATGGCTTTTTTCAACTGCTTTTCCTCGTTTTCCCTCTGTCAGAAAATGTGGCAAGATATATACATAGTATTTATATTATTTATATATTTTCCAGTTAACTGATTAGACCATTTTGACCCCATTTGGTTCGTCTGATTTGTTTATCTGAATCTTTCTTCGGATACGAAATTTGGTCGAGCTGAACCATAATATGGCCAAATGTTTGATATCCTGAAAATATTTTTATTTTCAGCCAAAGAGATTGGGTCAAAATTATAATTATTTTGCGCAGCACAAGTCTTTATATTTATTTTTAAAATAGGTACTCCATCCCACCCATACACTATAGGTGTCCCTTTGGAGGTGACCTCGGGAAAACATAAATTAAGTAGAGTCTCTGAAAGCAGTTTCATCAGTAAATATTGCAGTAAGCATGTTAATCTCCCACATTGGAATTAGTATGGGATCCATTGATATTGGGGTACTGTGACGTAGTGATGGCGACTCATTGATATTGGGGTACTGTAATGTAGTGGTTGGCTTAACACAATATGGCCGTATGGTGGAACTTGCAGTAGGAATCTACATTTAAGCATATTTATATCCCAACTGAAAATTAGGTTTGGAAGCAGCCCTATTTGAGCTACTAGATACAATGGTGAGCAATGCATAATATGACCAGAACAAGTCACCAAGTGTTAATCATTTACACTTACTTTTAAAAACACTACAAATAATCTAGTGCCACGGTATGATGTCTTTCAACACATTTTTCAAAGCACAGAGATTGTTTTCTTTATGGTGTTTATTTTGTCTTCCATGTTATAAGACTTGTAAGACTTGACTATGTTTAATTTTAGCATCACATACAAGACACCACCAGGGATCTATAATATAGTTTATTTGGAATATATTTTGATGACACTTATGAAAAAAGTGAATTTGAATGCACTGTATTAATCCTATCCAAAAATATTTATTTTAAGCATTTACTTCCTCGAGAGGGCTGTAGGCTATGATTTTCTGGAGTGATCTGAATTTTAATATTTCTTTCAGCCCACAATTCGTGTAGTAAAGACAATACGATTATTTATTTTCTTAATTGTCTAGGAAATTATCATCAGGGAATGTTTCTGTCACTGTTGACTTATCATATGTTACTAGTCTGAAAGGACAACAAAGTCTCACAATATGACTTATTACCATATTGTATCTGAATGGTGGTTTGAGAAAACTCACTTCGGGGATAAAAAATTCAATTGATGGCTGTTCTTTTCTGCGAAGATGATCGAGTTTTTCAGAAACTAATGAGATGAACTCATTTTAGAGTGCAAGCTTATGCCTAGCAACTGTACACAAAGCAATTTTACAGTATGTCATCACTAGGGAGCTTTTTTCCTTTACAAGCCCGATATTTGTCTTTGTCACGTCTTCTTGCTGAAGAACATCAGTGAAAGACTATAGACTTCCGACTCTAAAGAGCCAGCGTGATGTTGCAGAGATATTCTGCCATGAATATGAATGTATTTTAATGTGTGGGCTCTTTTTACCATCAAGAAGCCTTTTTCAGTATTTATTTCATGTAATTTCCTCATATATTTTTCTAAAGATATTGATGTCTCTCTTCGGTAGCTGATAGATTAAATGCAAGTTTATTTTATGGATGGCAATTATTATTTTTTTTATTGTAACTGATGATTAAATGTTTGTTGTGTTTTCTTTTCAGGAACAAAAGCAGCATTGTGTTTTTTAAGGTTATATGTACTTTACAGGTTACTCCAACCATTGGCAGAACTAGGGTGGGGGAGCACCATGACAAATCTTCCCCTTGAGAAGCCAGGTGTATTTACGTCTGGCCAGTAGCAGGGGGCACCCTAACAAATTCCTGTAGCCATGTGTATCTGTCTCCGTGTGGTTGTATATGTTTGTGTGCTTGTATGTGCATGCAGATATTTCCATTTCTTCATATGTGTGCATGTGTTGGTGTGGATGTAGGTATCTGTCACTGATTCTAGGTTTGTAAGTGAGTGCATCTGTGTTTCTGTAAATGTATGTGTCCATTTTCTAAAGATACAATTTGTCCCTTTTGTATTCTGGCTCTGTATCCACCCTGACTCCAAACAACACCTGTGCTATATTAAAACAGTTTTTGGTTACAGCAACACTTCCTGTCATTGCGTCACTTAAAAAAAAAAAATAGAAAGAAAGAAAAAAGGTTTTGCCCACAAATCTATACTGAGACCAAGTTGTCTCTGCAGCCCAATACTAATTGTGATGGTGAGAGATATCCTGAAGGTCAGGCTGAGGGAGGACTTCGGTGACACAGGAGCATGCATGCTGGGTATATATCACCAGCACGGGAGCATGCTGCCATTGGGTATATATCACCAGCACGGGAGCATGCTGCCATTGGGTATATATCACAAGCACGGGAGCATGCTGCCATTGGGTATATATCACCAGCACGGGAGCATGCTGCCATTGGGTATATATCACCAGCACGGGAGCATGCTGCCATTGGTTATATATCACCAGCACGGGAGCATGCTGCCATTGGGTATATATCACCAGCACGGGAGCATGCTGCCATTGGGTATATATCACCAGCACGGGAGCATGCTGCCATTGGGTATATATCACCAGCACGGGAGCATGCTGCCATTGGTTATATATCACCAGCACGGGAGCATGCTGCCATTGGTTATATATCACCAGCACGGGAGCATGCTGCCATTGGTTATATATCACCAGCACGGGAGCATGCTGCCATTGGGTATATATCACCAGCACGGGAGCATGCTGCCATTGGTTATATATCACCAGCACGGGAGCATGCTGCCATTGGTTATATATCACCAGCACGGGAGCATGCTGCCATTGGGTATATATCACCAGCACGGGAGCATGCTGCCATTGGGTATATATCACCAGCACGGGAGCATGCTGCCATTGGTTATATATCACCAGCACGGGAGCATGCTGCCATTGTGCACCAGCAGGCCCGGACTGGCCATCGGGCACATCTACAGCCCCTAGCCACATATGCATTACATTACACCACACCACAAACACAACACGACTAAAACGACCTTATTACACAATACCACACCACAATCAGCTCACTCTACACACATGCAATACCACAAGCAGGCTCCAAATACATGCACAATACTCTTTCCTGGCCCTTTTGTCTCCTGGTATCCATTTATAGAGACACCAGAGACAAGTTGCAAGGAAACACAGTGCAAGCATGTTATTAAATTAAATACAGGGCTTTTTTCTCATGCTGGAGCTCTTCAGCAGAGCTCTGCGCATGGTCTGCCCCGGAAGAGCATTGAACCAACATGCTCACTTTGAGAGGGGGCGTGTTTGTCACTGGTGATGACAAAACACACCTCCTCTGCCCTGCCCCCTTCTTAGTGGGCCGCTGTGATAAAAAAATGCCCGGGACAAATTTTTTTCCCAGTCCGGCCCTGATCACCAGCATGATAAGTGCTGATGATCATAGGCGTGCGCAGCCTATTGCATTAGGGTGTGCACCCTAAAGCACAAACACACGCCGCGCGTGTGTGTGTGTGTGTGTGTGTGTGTATATATATATATATACATATATATATACGTATATATATATTCACAGACACACACACTCACAGACTCACACTCACACTCACAGAAACACACACACACTCACAGACACACACACTCACACACACTGACACACACATACTCACACACTCACAGACACACACACACACTCACAGACACATACTCACACACTCACAGACACACACTGACACACACTCACAGACTCACACACACATACTCACACACTCACAGACACACACTGACACACACACTGACACATACTCACACACTCACTGACACACACACTCACAGACACATACTCACACACTCACAGACACACACTCACAGACTCACAGACACATACTCACAGACTCACAGACACATACTCACAGACTCACAGACACACACTCACAGACTCACAGACACATACTCACACACTCACTCACTGACACACACTCAGACACACACTGACACACACTCACAGACACACACTCACAGACACACACTGACACACTCACAGACACACACTGACACATACTCACACACTCACAGACACACACTCACAGACTCACAGACACATACTCACAGACACACACTCACAGACTCACAGACACATACTCACACACTCACTCACTGACACACACACTGACACACACACACACACACTGACACACACTCACTGACACATACTCACAGACACACACACACACTGACACACAAATTATTATATTTTAATTTTTTTTTTTAAATGTCCACCCAGCCTCCTACCTGGAGTGCTGGTGGACTTGTCCCTGGGGTCCAGTGGGGGCGGGCGCCTCTCTGCAGCTCAGCGCGCGGCAAGGGAGCTCTCTGCTCTCTGCTCTCTGCTTCCTCTCGCCGCGCGGGCTGTCTGCTCGAGCTGGGAGCCGGAATATGACGTCATATTCCGGCTCCCGGCATCAGCGCGCGGCGAGAGGGAGCAGAGAGCAGAGAGCAGAGAGCAGAGAGCAGAGAGCAGAGAGCTCCCTCGCCGCGCGCTGAGCTGCTGGGTGTGGGGGGGAATCATCACCTCTTGCCCTCCCATGACAGTGGCAAGAGGTGAGACGGGGGACACTGAGTGCCTGCAGGAACAGCGTTCCTGCTCAAAAGAGTGCAGGAACTCTGTTCCTGCAGGACTCAAACCATAGGGGTGCGCACGGGGATTAGGGTGTGCCCAGGCACACCCGGCACACCCCGTGCGCACGCCTATGCTGATGATAGATGCTTTATATTAGCAGAACTGAGAAGTGAGTTGAGCAACCTGGAACTCTAGCTCCAGACTGCTAATGACACTTCTTACTGATAAATTGCACATATAGACTCCAGAAGAAGAAGTGATGTTTTTATTTTTATCTTTTTATTTATGCTATTGAAAAGCATGAATTTGTTAGTCAGTCTTTAGATGGTATCAGCTATAAAACATTAACATTATCATGTCAGGGAAGCTCTTATCCTAGAAAGACTGAAATGGGGAAGATTTCATTTCAGTATATTATAGGAAACTTCAAAAACATAAAATACTGTAGACGCATATCTTAAACATATTGCGACGGTCTACTAATAATAAGTAAATAACCACAATTAATATAAAATATCAACCGGCATTAAATGGCAGCTAGGAAACAAATCATGAGTTTCCAGAAGGGGATTTTCAATTTTCCTATTAAACAGTAAAGATTATCACAGTTTGCATCATAACTGGTGTCTGTAAATCTGTTGATGACAACCATATTGTGGCGAAACCAGCCACGCCACGTGTCCTTGGAGGGGGCTGCTTGCCCGCCTCTTGCCTTTGGACTATGGACCAGACTTTATGTAAATGTGTTAACCCAGATAGCTATGCCAGGGAGCCCATTCGTGTAGTTAAAGACTTCGGCTCCATGGCAATTGAACTGTGTGAATAGGATCTGAGCGCTATTCGGTAGTTTTGTGCGCTCAGATCCCAGCTATCTGAAATGTCTGTGTGTTATGTGTAAAAGGTGACTTTATGTATTTTAAAGTGTTTTATGCCTTTTTGTAACCATGTGCTCAATGGAGTCTGCCTCTATCCCTGGATAATTGGATTACTTTCCCCATTGTCTCCAGGATAGAGGGCTCTGTAAAACCTGTTTGAGCCAGATACCATGTGCCAGCCAGGGCCCAAAAGATACTTTTACTAACTTTTGAACCCCTGGTCGGATTCATGCCATTTTTTAATATGTTGTTAACCTGAATGGATTGATTGTGAATATGTAATTTTATGTGAATGTGATGTATGGTTTTAAAGTTATGAAAGTTGAGTAGAAAGTATGTTTTAACTGTATGTGTAATTGAGTTTCCTCTCAGGATAAGGGGAGGGAATATGTGGGATGTAACTGATATGTGATTGGTTGTTTTATACCTCCTTGTGGGCAGTCCTGTATGTGAAAGGCTGTAATAAAAACCAGGCTGGGTGTGCCAGCACGAAAGTTCCTGTTTTAACCCTCAAAGTGAAGTGTCGTCTCATTATTGGGGGAAGGATTTATTGTATGCTGTTCCAGTTTGACTGCTAGGAGAGTAAACCTATCGTATAGTTCCTATTCAACTGTCTACAGCATTCATATGCTTGGGAGAATTTATTTGTTTCTCCGGTTCGGTGATTGTGGTGTCTGCCAGAGTGCTTGGAGTCCTCAGGAAGCGCTAGGAGCATCCTTCAACGGAGGTACCCAGTCGGGGTGCCAGTCGATCCGTTACACATATTATTTTGCTAAACTTAAAAAAGAGTAAATCTTGCTTCTATCCTACCTGAGTCTATAGGTGTCGGGGTCTTACCATTCCACTGTTTGTATTTTCAGGGTTGTAACGGACCTTTTTAGCACACAAGGGGTAAAAACCGTTTAGGTGATCGGCCCCCTTTCCAGAGATGCAGGCACAGCTACTGCAGAACACCAAACACACGAACCGCCAATAAGTGAATGCTCCAAACTCCCGAACGGCATCCCATATAGCACTCCAAACACACGAACAGGAACCATACGAATTGCTGCTAGCAGACGAATAGGAAAAGCATCCAAGCGGCTTACACTCCTAGCAATCAGTGTCTATCAGCATTCAGTAAATCCCCCCAAAGACGAGACAAGGCTCCGTGTTGTGGGTCAAGCAGTGGTCTGTTTAATGAGGGCTACCTGCCCAGTATTGATGCAGGTCTCCCACCTGGTGGACACTCCCCTAGGGGACCAGATGGAAGACTGTAACAAAAGACAGACATGTACCAATTACAGACATACAGAAGTAAAACATCCCCACAATGCATCCTGGCTTCCTCCCCTCTGCCCTGGAGAAGAAATTCAATTACCTCCCAGGACAAAGGCAAAAATCCATTACACACGTGGGACACAAAGACAGACTATCACTTTAAAATACATAATGGGACAAATGGTACAGTAAATATATACATGTAACATATCCCCAGATAGCTCAGGTCTGAGTGCACATGATTAGGTGAATGGCACTCAGACCACACGAATACAGTTTAATTGCCATGGAGCCAAAGTCTTTAATTCCACGAACAGGCTCCATGGCATAGCTATCTGGGTTAAAACATTCCCCCAACACAAAATACCGAATTTACATGCAATCCGTACGAATTAGAACCAGGGGATGGAGGTTCAGCGGTGCCTGCACGTAAAAGTGTCCGGGTTTGATGCAGGAAAGCCGGGGCAGAAAAGCGCTGGCTGCCCGGGGAGCTCCAGAACACTGCCATCGTGTGGCGGCTAAGTGTAACCGCAACCACCCAGTAACAATCAATTAAGCTGCGGTTAACCGCAGCTACTGGGTGGTCAATTGCCAGCACACGCTTGATAAGCCGCGGTTAACCGCGGCTTCAGGGAGGTAAATGGAGGGCGTACTCCAGCTTCTGGGTGGCCAATTAAGGTCGCCGGCCGGCTTCCCACGGCTCTGGGGAGGCTGAAAATAAACTGTTTGTTCGGTAGATAGAATCTACCGAACTGTGAAACAGTACACTATTTGCACAACCAGTATGTAATAGTGAAAGTGTGTAGCGCTATACTCACTTACTCCCCAAAATCCTTTAGGGGTACAGAAGGTATTATGTAAGTAGTCCAGAGCCTATTGGGGATTTGGCTCTAATCACTCTTGTCTTGTATCTTTAAGGTTACACACACCCTTTGAGTCCAAATAGAGTATACTCCTCAAAAACAAAGAGAGGGAGAACAGGGAAACTCGCCCTGGTGTTGAAATCCTTAAAACAGCAATATATAGGCATGCATGTAATGGTGAAGATTGCTTCTCACCTGAATTAGAGCCTGTAACCTGGCTCTAAGTAAATAGGCATATGAGTCCTTTTGGGATGACTCCTTCCCTCTTTAACAGGATAGAAGATGCACCAAATATATGTATGCTAAATAAAAAATAATATTTATTACATTCACTTTTAAAATCAATATGATACATACAGTATATAGGTGAGTCCAAAACGCGTTTCGACGATTCCGTTCGGCTTTCTCAATTGGTAGCTTCCATCCTGTCTTGTTCCTGATTAAAATCCCCGCCTTCCATCCTGATTGGTGGCAACCGATCGAACACCAACCAATCACGGACGTCCTTGCAGGGGAGGGTCTAATAGTCCAGCTGTAATGCTTTATCCCTTAACGGTGACGTCATCACGCACGTACGTACAATCGTGCGGGTGACGTCACTTCCGGGAATGTGAAAGAGTAGTATTCACTCCGGTCTCTCTTCTTTTAGTTCCGCTGACATCACTTCCCATTTTTAAAGATTACAAAGGTGTCCCAACTCCTCCTCCAGTCCATTCTGACAAAATGACAAAATAAAAGCTCTGTAGAATTTTTAGATCTTAATATTTACTTTGAACAAAATACGCTTAAAACCTGTACCCATTTCAAGAAGGTAGACGTGAACAGTTATATAGGGGAGAGTAGTTGCCACTTCTCCCCTTGGCTGTTAAACGCCCCTAAGGCGCAATTACTTAGGATAAAAAGGAATTGTACAGACCAATATAAATTTCAAGAGCAATCAGAGAAAATAATTAAAGCTTTTAGAGAAAAGGGAT